TGCTTCTTCTTTTGATAAATACATAAATACTACTTCTAATGATAGATAAATGTAAATAGGCCTATTTTTTGGCCTAAATTTTTACTTATTTGAATATTTAGCTACAGACAAATCAGATCACCTTAGTTCTTGGCTTTGTATTATATATTGGCTAAGCAAATGCAGAAGGATAGCCCAAACCATTTAGGAGAATCCTAAATACTTACCTTTATCCTTTATGGCTTGGTGAATTGTCTCAGTTAGGTAATAGGAATGTGTGCACCACGGGAGTTCTTTCATCAGTAGAGGGCGCAGCGCTGCTCCGAGTGACAGCCTCCTGCGCTCCATCAGTCCCGACGCAGACACAGCCTCATCCCGGGACAGCTCAGCCTCTCAGGGGGGATCCCCGCCGGGAGCACATGGATCACCTGCAGATTCACGGTCTGACGTATCGACCGGCTGCGCTGACAGCGTCCTTGGCCTCGGTTGGAAAATTTGTGAACGTGTCAAACACTTCTAGCACTGGGGGAAAGGGAGGTGGGGGCGTAAAAGTTGATTGCTTTTAGTTGAAAACGTCAGTCGCGGAGGAAGAGTTTCAATTCACAGTTATTGATTTGGAAGACAATTGTCCGTCTGCTGCGAGAGAGGAAGTCATGTGTTCACTCACGCTCCGAGTTTTCCCGCTGTGCTCAAAAGACTGCAAGTACAACAACACAACTCTAGATGGCGCTCTGCCTTGTACAGGACTACGATGAACGTGCGTGAGTATCCTGTAAGTAACCTCAAAAGCATTTTACTTTGATAAGCTTATTAGGATTGGACATGGACATGCTACATGTTTATTCAGCCTAGATTTGAAGATCCTGGATTCAAGTTGAATTGTTTAAAGTCTAGACACTTGGCACTGATCAGCCTATGGCACTATGGTATTTTTAATTATTAATTTGGGTCCAAAAGCGAAACCTTTCCTTCCTATAGCCTGTGCCAAGACTTCTGCTGCTGTACTAACACTTTTATTCTCCAATTTCAGTGTGCCAAAAAACATGTTTTATTACCACTGAACCCAGATATATTTTATGAAGATGACGGAAATTTGGGGTAAGTGCAAATATAGATTACTTTTATGTCATGTAACAATTCATTTACAATGTGCCTATAAACACATTACCCTCTTAGTAGGCTACAATATATACGTTTTCAACTTCACCCCTATCGGTGCCACAAAATGCAAATTAAACCTAAATTTGACTTTGAGGTGACAAAGCTCAGTGTAAATGTTGCTGCAGCAAAATTTGAATTTCCCTCGGGATCAATAAAGTATCGCCCTCTCGCTCACTCTCTTATTATTTTGAGAGAGAGTATACATCACATGAATATTAAGACCCAGAGCTTGTAGGAGGGACAATCATTATTAGTCTTCACTGTTACTGTGGTAAATTTTTGGAGAATGCAAATGCAATGAGTCTTTACGTGTCATGATCCAGGTCGATTTATTGCCCCTCTTGAGCAAGACACTTCACCCAACTGGTGGTCAGATGGGCTTCAAGCAACCACTGGTCCATCAGGCCACCGCGACTACAGCAGCAGGTTGATGAATTAACAAAGAGGCTGTAATCATTAGACTTATGCTCTGGTCAGTTGTTGCTGTAAATCTTGAGATGGAATACATCCTGACAGAATTACACGCCGCATAAATTTCAAACAATAAATCTGTTGTATTTTAATGAGGAAAACAGTCAAGATGAGAACGCCTTTCTGAGCTATGTAACAAGAGTTAGAATGAGCTGCGGCTAACTGCGTCTGATTGATTAGTGTGGCAACTGCAAGAAGCTGTAGTCATTTTTCTCTTTAATAAAACCATCCACTACAAATTGCCCTTGAGCAATCACCTGTTTATAAATAATAAAGCATAGCAAGTTGAGTAGTTTATAATAAGGTTCCAGGCTGCTCAAACCTATCTTTCTGAAAAGGCCGATTTCCATGCACAGCTGAGCATGAGACACCTACAGTATGAGGACAAAGAGCTGGTGACATCAAGGTGGAGGCCCATATATAACCACCACCTTATTTTAGCGTCTACTGTTGCAGGATAATTTGCATGAATGTGGTAGGGCTGTAGTTCTGTAGTTGATTCATCGATCAGTGGTGGCATACTCATCCAAAATTTTGATTAATCTATAGGTGCACTGTGCAACTTTTCTAATTCTCGCCATGGAGATTTTAGTTGCTTTACCTGGAGTGGAGTATGGCAGTGTTTCTCAAACTTTTTTTTCTGGAGACCCATATTTTAAAAGTCACAAACCTTCGCGACCTAAATCAATAGACATTATTCGTAAATCACAAAAGAAAGGTGGATTTGGCCATTATTGAGTAGGACAGGAACAATATCCAAGTCTCACGATCTGATATCGCCACGGTTTGAACCTCACGGTACAATATTGATTGCGTTATTGTGGGAAAGCTCACGATGTGGCGGGGAGGCTCACGATTAGGGATGTAACAATATCCAAATCTCTCTGTATGATATTTTCACGATATACATCTCATGGTACGATATCTTTTGCAATATTTTGTGGAGGCTAACAAAACTGTTAATATGCAACTTTTTCCTCCTAAAATGCCTTGATAAGACTTAATCCAAAGAACTAATATTTAAAAGTGCTTAAAACTGTTATTTCTTAGTAGTCTACACTGAAACGGAACAAAGCATCATGGTCTATGTAGTTCCCTCTGTCTTTTTTTAGCTACTGCTGCACCATAACTCTTAATTTAAGCAAAGAGACTTCGATATATTGTGATGGCCCATGATATTATTGTGAGAACTTTGATGATACAATATCACGATATTTCGGTTATTGTTACATCCCTATTAATGAGGATATTTTATTGTTGACTGAGTGATCGTGTCTGTCTGAACAATTAATATTTCTCAAGTTTTAAACAATGAAAAAACAATAACTGAACCAGCAATAAAAGGATCCAAGTCGCCTATTTGGACATTAAATGTAGCTGATTTCTTTTCTTTTCAGCAGTCTATTGAACCAGCAATATTGGAACAAAATAGTGACTAACTGTATTTTGCAGACCTACATGCGTATTGTGACAAGGAGACCCCCAAAAAAATCTCTTGAGATATCGACCCAGTCTTTGGGAAACAATGGAGTATGGAATTAAATATATCCATCCAGCATTTATTCATTACGTATGTTTTTATTGCTCAAAAATACAATAATTACTTCTGTGAATAGGGGTGACTTTCCACAGCTCTGAATTTTAATGTATCCATCCATCTGTTATCTGCTGGTCTTCCTCATGATAGAGAGGTTTCGTCTATACTGTGGAACATTCTAGACAAAGCAAAACTATTCCCATGGAGACAAGCAGGTGGCGGACCATCCACCAGAAATATTACGCAGTGCACCTTTAAATTATGAGGATTTATTTATGTAAGACAACACCAGAAAGAAAAAGGTATGTAAAAAATGAGATGGTTACATATAAATCCATTGTTTCTTAGTACTTTTTGGATAAATAATTGTTTTTTTTGTATAAATAAACCAAGAATTCCTTTAGTGGACTACAGCTGTAGTGTTTTGTGTTACATCTTAAAATGACCCTGTGCGTGTTTGTTGACTCCAGATCCTGTTGCACCGGCGTTTCCATGGTAACTGGGGAGTGAAACGTCTCAGAGGTCGGCGTGAGCGAGAGCACCTGAAGCGCGGCGTGAACGGAGGTCCGACCCGCGAGCCTGCGCCACGACAGAGCGCATGGACATGTTTTCATTAGCGCCCCCTGCTTCGTGCTGACTTGATAGATTGTCACCACACCCGGGCTGTTAATCATCTCTGGGGTCACGCGAGCAATAAAAAACAGGGTGGCGCTCGTGCATTTGATGATGAGGAGGAGAGGAGTGGAGCCCTGATAAAAGCGTGTGAGAGATTTAAAGAGAGGGGAGGAGAGTGTCTCAGCTCTGGAAGTGGATTACATCTATTATTTAGGAGCTGCTACCCCATCACCGGAGAAGCAGAGACAAACAAGCTTCTGCAAAAACCCTATTGGAACAGATCACATTGTAATAACTCCAATTCAAGAGATGAGAAGAAAGTCATGGAAATTGGATGCACACTAGAGCTGATTTGAAAAATGTATAATTTTTCTAACAAGCATGGCAGTTGTGACTAGATTTTGGATTATATTTATATTTTGATAACAAGATTCTGTTCAAAGTTAACCATTTAAACACACCTAGAAGAATTGTCATAAATACAAATTAATTCAAGAATCAGAACATATTTGCACAGATGTAAACTAAAGAGATAGCAGGTTTAAGCAGAATAAGTCAGGATATTTTGTTGTTTGTGGAGAAAATTCTGGTATTTCAAATAAAGCAAGCTTTGAGATTTGTTAAATGTGTGTATTCAAATTTAGATTTAGATTAGATTTGAGATGAATCTTACAGCCCCATGCACTGACAGCAATCTTATGACTCTCTGGCTTTTAACACTGACTTATGATGACTGTATGGCTTACAACTTTGCAGATTTCAAAGCTATTGGCCTATTTTAGATCAACTATGCTCACTTGTTGCTATTTCACTACTGTTCTTGCTTTCAAATTTTGTGGTATACCAGTGCAGAACAGTGGACTCCACAAAGGAGGTCGGATTTGTTTGAGGATGCCATGGTCCACTAATATATAAGGCAGGATATTTGCATGTAAAAGCGTGATACACCTTAACAAAACCAGCAGTTGCATACACAAAAATCTTCACAAAGACAATGGGTAGGGATGTAGAAATGGGCAGCAAAGATAAAGGAGTGAATAAATAAAGCTCAAATCAAAGTGAAAGGTGGATATCTTTCTTTCTATTGTAATCTCACTTTGATGTTGCAGAAGAGTGAAGACATATTTTTCTTCAAAGTCAATAAAGCCAAGATTTTCACAGTTATACTTCATCTATACACATAATAAGACGTATAATATGAGTAGTCTTAAGGTTATACAGTGAATCAAATAAACAAACATGTATTTATTTGTTGAATATATTATTTTATTTTAACATCATTGTCATAGTTGAACTTTTAAGTTTCCCTTCATTCATTTAAAATGACCACCTCTGAATGTACACAAACTGCAAACTGTCAAAAATATACAAACAAATGCAGGCTTGTGCTATAGTCTGGTCAAATGTCTAAAAACAGTGGCACTGGGAGGAGCTATATAGAAAGAGAGAGAAAGAGAGAGAGAGAGAGAGAGAGAGAGAGAGAGAGAGTGAAAGAAATTAGGAGGGAGAAAGAGAGAAGACATTGAAAGTGGTAAAGACATGCACAGCATTATTGAGAGCACCAACTGTGGTGGTCCCAGTGCGTGGTCCTTGGGGTCATTGGAAAAGTCCATACATTTCATCATCGGACAGAGGCACAGACTGCCTGCCATGGAGTAGGTCAGAAACAAAAGTTGCTTGTTGATGAAACTGTTAGGCACATCTTTGTTTTTTGTGGTTTTACATTTTCTGTAAAAGTCAAGTGTCATTTTAAATGTTAATGTTCAACAAAAAATAAAAATAAAACATACAGTTAAAAAAAGAGAAACAAAGCTTTTCAAAGTCTTTCTGGAATCTCTGTTTTGCCAGTGTCTGGATGTTGGCACATATTTAACAGACTGTAAGTCTTATCACATATGTGGTCACAATAGGATACTTTGCAGCCGTTAGGAATAATGGTAATGAGACTGAGTGGTCTAATACCAATAGTAGTATTATGAACAGCCAATCAAATGCTCAAATCTTTGGGGTTCCCCTTGTAGGTTTTCTTGGGCTCCGGAAGAGTGGAGTTTGACGGGCGGCTGGGGTTACTCTTCAGCGTGCTGTAGTACTCTCTTACTTTGGCCGCTACAAAGTTGTCATCATCCTCTTCATCTTCTGAGTCCTCTCTCCGGAAGCTGCGGAGGGGGGAGACGTCGCGCCCAAGGCTGCGTGCTCGGTACCGCGGCTCTGGAGAGCTCCCGCGGCTGGGGTAGCGCTCGTCCCTGTCCAGCCTGTCGGGGGATCGACCCCTGAGGAGGGAGCTGTACCTCAGGTAGGCAGAGTCGGAGTCAGGTGTGCGTACTCTGGGTAAAGTCACATCTCTGAAGGGATCCCTGGTGTTGCGGGCCACTACATCGCGCATCAGGCTCTCCCCCCCTGTAGGCTCTTTCCAAAGAAGAGGCTCTGTTGAGGAGACTGTCCTCCCCATACAGCCGCTCCTCTCTGTGCAGGGATGGAAGTGTAGCCTCACGGTTTAGACGGTCCAGGGCGGGGGGCTCTCGAAGCACACTCGGCTCTGAAGGTGGGGTGGGTTCAGGAGACTGGGGCACCTCCTTCAAGACCTCCCCATTGGGTTTCTCATTGTTGGGCTGCCGCTGTCGGTCTTGGGAGGCGTACCTGCGGTAGGGGTCAGGGGAGTGGCGGTGATGTCTGGTGGGGGAGTGTCTCCTGGTGCGGTGTGGGGAGCGGTGGCGATAGGGAGAGTGGTGGCGATAGGGAGAGCGGTGGCGATAGGGGGAGCGATTTGGAGAGCGATGTCTGTGGTGGCCTGAGGAATGGCCATGACGTCTGTCCGGTGAGCGGCCGCTTCTATGGCGACTGTCCAGTGCGTTCTCGGCGCTGTGAGAGCGGTGTTTGCGCTCAGGGGAGCGGTGGCGGCTGCGGTGAGGCTGCCCACTGCTGCTATCCTTGTCCTTCTTCTTGAACAGCTTGACGGGGGACCTCCTCCCTTTGCTTTTCCCTGTACCGCTCTTTTTATGGGGGGATCGATGGCGATGATTGGAGTGGTGGTGCCTTCCTGTGCCGCTGGAGTGACGGTTGGTGTCCTTCTTGCTCCTGGATGAGTGTTGGGGTTCTGGTGGGATGCTTGCCTCTGACGGTTCATTGAATGAGGGCAGGCCACTCATTTCCGCAGCGTTTTGTAACCCTGTGGCTGCGTTGACTGCACTGATGTCGCTGGGGTCTGTAACATAGGGCAGTGGATCAAACATACATCACATCTAAAGTGGGGCATCTCAGAGTGCTTAAAAACTCTAATCAACTTGATTTGGTTGACTGCTCTTAAAGGCTTTTAACCTTGTATTTACAATTATCATCAATCAGTTGTTATTAGAAACCATATTCAGCCAGTTACTATTAAGCACTCTGAGATAGGCACCCAGACCCTAAGCACTCCTATCTGGTTTCACTTTCTCTGACCATGCTGAACCGCTCAAACAAGAAACTGAAAACATTAGCAATGAAAGCCATTGTGATGTCGAAGTTAATTCTTGTGCCAGTGGTAGCTTAAAGATGAGAATAAAAAGCATGGACAGAATCATGGAGCAGCCATAGAGTAAAAAGAAACGCCTGTTTGGTACAAGTGGGTTATGCAGCCTAATTACACTCAACACTTGGATGTTGATGAGTTTTCTGACTAGCCATGCTATTTCATGCTCTCCTGACATGACATTAACTATCTGAAAACACCTAAGAATATATGTAAAAATAGGAGTTTGGTTATAAAGCCTAGTACACTGACTGCATTTCACTTCAAAATAAGCAGTAGATAGTATGAACTGTGATTGCGGATGCGACGGCAATGACAATGCATTTATGGACAAATGTATTTAAATAACTGAGAAAATAGAATGGATGACCGCACAAGACAGAGGACAACCAAGAAGAAGACAGGCTGTGTGTGGCGGACGACAGGGGAGGACAGTTACAAACCGTGGTCTGATTTTGGAGGACAGAGGCCTCCCCCAGCTTGTCATTTTCATACATGCAGTGAGATGGGGAGCAACCATCCCTGAAGAAAGACAAGAGCCCAGCGCAAAATAAAGAAGAGGAGAAAGAGAGAAAAGTACAGTTTAAATCACACTGAACCAACCTGAAGCAAGAAAAGAAGAATTACTGTTTGTGTTGATTTTCAATAAAAAAGTGTTTATTGGATCATTGAATCATTCAGAACAGAGACAGTCCAAGATATTGCCCCAGTGGACCCACACACCCAGACACACGCACATGTGAACAGAAGCAGCAGAAACCCAACTGAAAAGAAGACAGTGAGACCCACAACACCAGCGTATGAAGCAGTATTACATAGCCGACAAATAAAAAAGAATACTGGCAGGACGGCCAAAGTCGTGCCAACTCAAAATATAAACCATGATCAAAATATACAAATACGCACATGTGATAGTGGTGCATGTAAAGACAGCACATTCTTAGCGCAAAACAATTTACACCAATGAGCGTCTCTAGACAGGCAAATGCTTTTCCACTGTAATAAAAAAGTAATAAAAAAACAAACAATGACTCTGGACTATTAAGTAAAACTGAGCAGTAATTAAAAAAAGAAATGTTCCATAAATATTATGGAGAATAGACATAAAAATCAAATTTACAGTTAAACAATTCATGCAGCAATAGACTTTTATCCATTAATATGTGGTTTTAGTTCATGGCTCTGTACATTGAACAAAAATACTTGTAAAAATGCCTCTTTAAGTCACTGTACAAAATGTATACTTTAATCAGTTATTCTATTTCGGGATTTGGGAGGGGCAGATCCTAGAACCACAGCTGATCATTGACATTAACAGTGGGTGCAAATAAATCCAAGGATTAGTGAGTAATGTCAAGCACAATACAGTGACATTTTCTCAGTTTCAGAGAGCACAGGCCCCTGCTCTGTCCGTTCTCAGCTCCAATCCTTTGAATTCAGTAGCTTACATTCACCTTCAATAAATATCATAAATATGTTTGTGACACATCTTAACCAAAAGAGTAATGCTTTAACAAGAATGTCCCATTTTACCACGGGATGCAGTGGATCAAGTTTTTCCTTAATGCTAAATAATATTAAACATTTATAACGCTTCCATCCACGAAGAATACTGACTGTACTAATCTGCCCATTCAAACCATGTAAACGGTAGTAACGTAGCACTGACATGACACCCACACCATGTAAAGTCCCAGCAAGCCCAGTGCTTTTGCTCAGTGCCTATAAGGTGACAAGAGAGAGCGAGATGAAAAAGGGCAGGGCCAGAGCAGGTGAGCGGCCCGTCCAGCTAATGCTTCCATAGAAAACAGAGGTAACAGTGACTTCCACCAGAAAGACACCCAAAGACACCCGGTCAGTTCGTTTACACGCCCACCACCGTCCACTGCAGAGTCCCCCCTACTCAGGGCGTGAAGATGGGTGAGAAGGGAATGTTTTCGTAGATAGACCCACCATATTCGGGCACTGAACCGTCTCCCCTCTTGAGCACCAGGTGGACGCGCCGGCCACCGCTTTTGATGAGCTCGATGGCACGGGCGTGCTTCATGCCTTTGGTGCTCTCGCCGTTGATCTCCAGGATCTCATCGCCGACCTAAGAAAACGCAAAGCAAAATCAGATACAGGCGGAGGGTATGAGAAGGAAATATCTGTGGTGGATGGAAGCAGATAATGTGATAATGTGAGGAAAAAGTGTGCAGACAGGAAGATGAGATAAAATTGTAAAATCGTGGAAAAGCAGAACATCTTCAGAATTGATAGTTTTCGGGGAAATTGCTTTGTGTTCTGCTGGGGGGTCAGTTACCATGGCAACACATGATTAACATGTCTGTAAAGAAGTGATTTTTTTTCCATTGGAGCTTGTGATCAACATGAGCGCCCATTGCCCTGTTTAGAAGTTTGTTTGCCTCCATAATAAAAGGTGAATGTGACTAGAGTTTGGGAATTGAAATATTTGTAAGTTTTGTTAAATCAATGAAGGTTTAACAATAGGTTAAATACTAAACTTACATGTTCATTCAAATATTCACTAGCAGATGTATTTACCAGTACTGCTCCAACAGTTTATCAGATTATTCTACAGCAATAGAGACGTTTACATCCAGATTATGTTAAAACAAAACCCAGATTACAGTCTAACACACTTGAGTTACAGAGCTTCAGACAGATCAGTGTCTCCAGTTATCTTTACTCCCCCAAGGAATGTTGACATCTCGGTATGACATCGCTTAAAGTGTCCATACATACATATCTATCTCCACATGCTGCCTATAGTATGTTTTCCTGTTTGTATATTAACAGATTCCAGGGGAGGTAAATTGTGTCTGGAAGCAGCTACTGTGACGCTGAGGGGGAAATGAGAGGGAGAGACAGACTGGAGGAAGAGAAAAGCTCTGCACTCCTCCTCTGCTCTTGTCTCGATGCCTGCAGATATCTGTCAGGGCTGTCTGTGCCCAGGGGAATCCTCCCTACAGCGCGATCTCGCCCCAACACCTCTGTCTCACACAACTGCTGCTATTCATATCAGGGCTAATAAAGGCCAAGTCTGCAAACACGCGCTTCCTCAAATGCCCTGGTGAAATTTAACAACCCCAAAAAGAATCCTAGCCCGAGAAACAACAAGAACTAATTTGTTTTATCTATCATGAAAAGATCAGATCTCATAAAGGGGCTGTACACAGTATTTTTCTTCAAGTAAAATGTCTCTTGCCTCAGACTGTACAGTATAGAGAAGTGGACTAATGGAGCGTGACGTCACCCATAGCGTTCGGCTCACGAGGCTTGCAGTTATCGGAGCAAATTTGGAGCAATTTATTTATGGACAAAATTGTGAAATAAAAACACCAGGATCATATAGAGCGGGTTAATATGAACACTTTAAAACCAAAATGACAAAGCTCACAGCAGCAGAACGAGGGGTGACAACTTTTCAATGTAAAGTTAATTGTAATTTAAAGCCAGGTCAGCTACGTCCATTTATTTTCACAGTCTATAACCTTGCCCCAGATAAATTGTAAAAGCAGTTCTCAGGCTCATTTCCACTGGTGCAACTTAACAACCCAACCCAAAAAAGAATCTTAGTCGGAGAAACAACAAGAACTAATTTGTTTTATCTATTATGAAGAAGATCAAATCACTTAAGCGGCTGTACACAATATTTTTCATGTCTAGCCCCCAGGTCAGATATACTGTATTGTCAAAGCAGCTCTTAAGGTAAAATGAGAATGGTGTGTCTCATTCAAACCAGTAAATAAGGCTGGTGCGCTGTTAGCATGCTAGTTGTTGTTAACATTAATGTGACGGGAAACTCTGCTCTGGCCTATGAAAGAAGAAAAGCTCCTATAAATCTTATCTTTGTGGTGAATAATTAGGATGGTAGCCATGCATTGCAAAAAAATTTAATTATGTAGTCGTAGTTTTTTTTAAAAGACACCAGGTACAATGCTATGTTTAAACACTGCAAAATTACGGAGGAAAGAGCTTCAGATCTGTGCAATTCATCAAACAAAAGGTTAAATCTAGCAGCAGTCAGATCAATTAATTCAAAAGGCATATCTGGAGTCTGTTCTCATGTCTGTATGCGCTGTATAAAGTGATTGCCCGAGCCTGAATGCAGTGTGTTTGTAGCCAGCCAAGCAGATCTAACAGTAATTGGAGGGTACATTATGCATAAGCAATTATCTTGATAGATTTTTTCCCTCCACATTGCAAAAGGCAATGTGCCATTCTCATCAGCCACTCACAATCAGCTGCCAGGGGCCTCTAGTGTACCTGAGAGCTCCACTTTATTTTATTAACTACACGAGAATGCAACAGGTCAAACTTAAGACAGATATTGTTGATTCAGTCTGCTTTGTAGTTGTTATTTATACATAAGTATTCAGACCTGGAGGTGCGTGAATTTAAATATTTTCTTTTCTTTTCTTGATTGTAAAGCTCTGGGCACACAAAATCACAAGCAAAACAACTCACTCATATGTCACCTTAGGTTCACCTCTACCAAATGCAGAATGTTTTTAAGAAAGTTTTGTTTAAAGATCCCCACAATCCAATATTCATGGGATTTCAGCTTCGTGTTTATGTGTGATAGTTTTAGGGCACTTTTCCACTGTTTTCAGAATAATCAAAATTTAAAACAGTAAACATGGTGATTAACAACTAAAAACAAAAAAAATATATCTCTGGAAAAGTCCTCAAAATGTTGCATATATTGAATAAGGATATTGTTATTTGCTATGGGAGTGGTGTTTTTATCATTCTCAAACCCAGAGGGACAAAAATCAAATCAATCAATATTTGCTAAGAAGATGACTCATAGTGAATACTGAATGAGCACATTGTTGCCCTTGTGGTTCATACCCTCATCTTGCCGTTGCGGACAGCTGCCCCCTCCTCTGCTAGCCTCAGCACGTACAGGTCCATGTTGTATTCTCTGCCTCCTCTCAGGCTGAAGCCGAAGCCTTTGTTGTCCCGCTCCAGGTCCACCGAGTAGAACTCCCCATCCTGGTGCACACAAAAACACGAGAGCAACAGGGTAAGTGTCAGCTCAACATTCTATCTCTATAGTGTAAAACAGAGTGAAAGGACAGGTCAGATTTCTATAGCAAAATCTATTGTTTAGATAGACAAGATAAACACATACTTTATTGATCCTGAAGGAAAGTCAATACAATACAAAAAAACTAAAGTTCAAAGTGAAACCAGGCCTGTCCGTACAATGGCTCGGCGGTCAAATGCGGCCCTCAGACCAATTTTTCTTGGCCCTCAGGTTTCCAGGTAAATTGTCACATATTACCTTAACCATAGTTTTTTAGGTTTTAAAACGTACCTTGATAAAGTTGATATCAAATATTTAGCCCTGTTGAGGATCTAATCGTTAATAAAGGTTTGGTAACTCATCAGCCAGTTTTACTTCGTTTCACTTCCTACAAACCGTCTGACCTTGCAGTGTTAGAATTCGTTCGCTTGACGGTAGGCGGGTACTTTTTATCATTTAACCAATCGCTGCTATTTGGTCATGACGTATGTAATGCGCCGCTAATGGGGCTAAATGGTATATTACGCTTTTCCCAAATCCCATAGGAAGAAGGGCAATAATGTCTTTCCCCTTGATAAAATTCACCCAACATTCTCTTTGTTCCAGCTTTAAATCCTCGATCTTGGGAATCGTTGACAACACTGAATATATGGCTCTTCGCTGATTGGCTGGTGCCCGAACTTGCACTTCTGGGGTTTTTGCCAACCATCTATTGCATTTTGATTCCTGACCTAGTCGCTGGAGAGAAATGAGAAACTAGGTGGCGCCAGCCTGGCTACCTGTAATGCCGTCCGAGTCAGTGTTTTCATATGTGGCCCTTGAGAAACATTTTTGGACACCCCTGACTTAATCATTTGGACAAACTGTGAGATTGCAGATGTGTTGTGGCTTATACTTAATCTCTGTAATTACAGGCCCTATCCACATGAAACAAAAACTGTGACAAAGTACTTATTCAGTCTATTTATTAAATTATTTATTCTGTCTCAGTCAGAATTAATAAACAAATGTGGACTTGTTGTGCAATTATTCAACCCCAAAGATGTGATGGATGTTAGGACTGTAAGGTGTAAGATTAATACAGCAAGTTTGTGGAGCTTATCCCTAATAAATAATTATACGGTAAAACATTTGTGGAGCTGTAATATCTCCTTGCTTCTTTGCTTCTTTACTTCCTTGCAAAAACTATTATCTTAAAAAACAAAACAAAAGAACAGAGGGCACAAGGACTCAATTAACTCACTGAACTGGGGAGTGACGCAACGTGAAATGGGTATAAAACAAGAGACAACTTTTAAATGTGGTTTTTAAAATTTGATACAACATTTTAATAGACGACAGGATGACCTCAAAAGCTAAACAACAGCTACAGTTAATTGAAAGCAAAGTACTCAGTTAAGTTTACTTGATGTGAGTATTTTTTCTTTCAAAATAGCAAATCTCCCATAGGTCCCTGCTCTCTATCTGAAATCATGACATCATCCATTTCTACAGCGTGAACATAAAGAAGATAAAGATATAGGGGCAACCAGGCAGACCACTACAGCAGCAAGGGCACTTTAGCGATTCAGATTCTACTGTTGTGTCCTTTAAAGAGATTTCACAACTAGGGGACGAATGCCACCTTGGGGAAAGTCACCCGCCTTTAATAGTGGTGCCACACTCTCCCAGACTTGCAGATGCCCCGGTGGAGAGATGGTGAATTATTTATGCCTCGGGTTAGAAGTGGACAGAGACAGGGGACGGACAGAGAGAAAGGGAGGGAGAGAGAGACAGGAGGAGCCAGGGCAGCTAAAGGACAAGCAAACAGCTCCGACTACTCCTGTCCTCGCGTCTCTCCCTAATCTGCTCTGCTTTTGGATCAATGCTATCAGGGAACGCCATCTCTACCACAGCAGATTAATGCGCCGGCCAACGCACTGGACTGAGGGGCTACTCTGAAAGAAAACAGGCTTCCCATAATGCACTGATCCCGATAAGGCCAGCAGGTAGCGGTGCGAGGAAATAAATAAGAACAAGCTTTGTCCTTGGCCAGCTGGGTGGGCAGAAGGGTGAATGAACAGTGTATGGGCGGATGAAAAATATAATGAAACAATAATAGGGTTTATACAGTGTTAGTCTCACCTGTGAGACTTGAGTCGGAGGTTGTGGAGGCGGAGCTTGCGGTGCTTTGAACTCAAACGATTCTTGTTTTGGTTTGGTGTTGGTCCTGGAAAGAGGAGAGACAAAAAAAAAAGGGAGTTTAATAGAAGAAAAGCTTGCCTATAAATGATCAAGGCCAGATGGGGACGGCTAGTTAGCATAATAAATAGCTTTATGACGTCTTGTAAAAAGAATATTGGAAATCTCAGTCACATAAAAATTTAGAGCAATGCATAAACTTCAAAACAATGTGCAAATGCAGTATTTTTCTTGTCTGTTACTATGGCTAATGCAGTGTTTATTACTATCCAATAACGGTTTATGTGCAAAACATGTAAGCAATAATATGTTACGTAATTTTTCAAGATTTGAAAAGAAAAAAAAAAGATAACTGTGAGGTTTTTGCTTTTTTTGGGGGCTGTAAAATCTTGCTGATTGGCTGAGGACAGAGCCACACCCACAGATGCAACAGAGTAATTTTTTATTGAGTTTTCTGTTTCATTCAAATGTCAAATAATGCCAAAAAATAAAAATAAAAATTAGGGAGTTGTGCATGAAAAGTATGAATTAGGGTCCTATAGGAGGGGTGTAGGGAAGGTGGGGTGGGTGAGGTTGGGGATAATTGTTGGGGTACACAAGGAGCACTATTTTCATTAAGCTCTCTTCAGATATGTTATATATTATTTTATTTATTTGGCTGTGTTACAATCTTCTGTTTTGCTGCTGTTTTCTTCTTTTTCATTTGCCATTATCTTTTCTGTAGCAGTTTATTCTGTCAGATGCATCCGCAAAAAAAGTACGAAGTCAAATTGTCTGGCCTCATAAGTTGACATTTCTTACCTGGCCTCCGGTGCAGCCTGTTGCTGGGCTGTGTGAGTGGTGGTAATAGTGGCTATCTTCTCCGCGTTGGTCAACAAAGACGCATTTGAAGATTCTAAAGCAGGGAAAAAAGAGTGAATATGTTACTTCCAGAATTTCCACGCACTGTGAAGGAAAGAAATCGATATTAAACCTGGTTCACGTTAGTCATAATATTGCTTTTTGTCAGTTGGTGTGGCTCATGTATCTTATTGAAAATGACTCTGCCTCAAGCAAACATGAAAAAGTCTTCAATTAGCACATATTATTGACGTGTGCTAAGTCCATACGGAGACTAGATCAATACAATATAAGCACAAAATGAAGCCTAGTTCTGGTGCTAAAGATTTTAATTCATAAGCCACACTTTTTTTATTTAAACGTGACTTGTGTACCGAACTTTTTGTGCGGGGGATCCGCAGCCTGCTTTTCTCAATGGAGATGCTTTTCCTGCTTTGTCTGGAATGTTCCACAATTTAGCATTAAACTTATCTTGCATTTATTCTATTACAGGTGGTTTACTGTAGCCTGATTCATCAGAAGGTTTCACTTGGTAGAAACCGTCTGACCTTGCAGCGTTGGAATTCGTTCGCTCGACGGGAGGTGGGTACTTTTTATCATTAACTAATCACTGCTATTTGGTAGTCATGTATGCAATGTGCTGCTAACGGGGCCTGCTGTTAACTAATTAAGCTTTTCCCAAATCCCGTAGGAAGAATGGCAATAACTTCTTTCCCCTTGGTAAAATTCCCCAAACATTCTCTTTTTTCCGGCTTTAAATCCTTGATCTCGGTAATTGTTGACAACACTGAATATATGGCTCTTCCCTGATTGGCTGGTGCCCGAACTTGCACTTCCGGGGTTTTGTGAACCGTCTAGTGTATTTTGGACTCCTGACCTAGTTGCTGGAGAAAAATGAAACTGAGTGGAGGCACTAGGTGGCGCCAGCCTGGCTAGATTTACTGTCAGCTGTGAGTGGGTCTGCCTCTCCACAGATCTGCTGTAACTTAGCCTGGTGGTATTATCCGCTTTCTTCTTGGTGGTAGATACGTTCAATGCCCCACTGTTGAACATTCCAGGCAAAGCATTCACATTTCCATGGAGACCATCAGGCAGCTTACCCCTCGTCAAAAAAGTTACACAGTGCAGCTCTAATCACACCTCCATAAGGACTGCTAATAATGTGACCAGCCAAAGCGCAGTCAATAGCAAGAGCTGTCCCTTTGGTTTCCATTGACTGTTTGCCAAGAGCAGTAGGACGCTAGAGTAATACTGCCTTCTCATTTGTTGTATTGATCATTTGTCATCACAGTTGTCAATTTTCTTCGAGGCATTTTCTTTTTTCTTAAACGTATCACCAGAGACTTCCTTTCTGACTGATCAAGCAGGCTGCGCTCGTGTCAGAAATCTAAATACTACTTTCTCTCTCTCATCCCAATTCAATCATTTTGTGTTGTCAGTGAATCACATCGAGTCTTAGTGGCAGAAACAGTGCATCATTACACCGCTCCTGCCGCATGGAGAAACTTTCCTACTCCCTAACAGCCTATTCTCCCTCGTCTATCTGCGGTTATTTGATTACAGCTCGGCACCTTGCTCGCCATTCCTCTCACGATCTTGCACCCCCTCCTCTTCCTCTCCTATTCATCTCCTCTACCTCCACCAGCCACTCTATAATGGCCAGTAGGCTAAACTTTGATTAAGCTAAGCCCACAACGGAGAGTGCTGGTCAAATGAACGGCGACGCAGCTGGAAATAAACCTTAAGCAAAATCCATGGGGGGGGGGGACTTTGTAGTGTGATTCTCAGCGTGACATCTACACTTAAAATACGCCATTGTGTGATTTTTGCTGGTCGGTGCAAGTCATTGAGTCATTTCCTTAGCCAAAAGACGAGAGAATGAAACCGGTTCAATACCAGGCTCTACACATTCATAGACAATGTCACATTTTAAATAAGACATCAATTACTGACATTTCTGTTCATGAGTAGTAGGTCTGGAAGGAACATAACATGGAAGACACAATTTCATTTTTCTCATCTTGCAACAACTTAATCTCTTACTTTATCATAGACCTTGGACTATTCACTTTTGGATGACTGAAACTATAAGTATCCTGTATTTATCATGGTATAGCACAATCACATAGTATTTAACAACAGAGGTGGGGACTTGCAAGTCGTGATTTGGACTCGACTTGCAAGGACTTGAGACTTGACTTGAGACTTGACTTGATAAAATAAACTTGGGACTCGACTTGGACTTGAAGCTCATTGACTTGGGATTCGACTTGGACTTGAGGTCTGTGACTTGAAAAGACTTTCTGTTCTGACTGTAATGATTTGCACTTAGATCTTGTCAAGACATTTAAAAAGGAAAAAGTAGCATTTCTACAACTTTTATATAAATATTCATATGTAAATATAGCATGACTTTTATAAGTACAGTTTAGTTTAAAATTCATATAAATAGCAAAAATTTAAGCTTTATTTGGTAGGCTTTGGTTTAAAGACTTGAAATGACTTGAAACTCAAAGCAGAAGACTTGGACTTGACTTGGACTTAAGAGCCACTCAAGACTCGATTTGGATTTGCCTGTATTTGACATGGGACTTGACTCGGACTTCAGGTCAAAGACTTGAGACTTGCAAAACAATGACTTGGTCCCACCTCTGATCAACAATACTGATACCAAAAATATCTATTTGGTTGGAAATTTAAGATGACCGCATGAAAATTTCTGGAGATGGAAAGTGAACTGCGTGATTCCATGGAAACAGAAAGTTAAATCCATACTTTGGACACATTCTCCATGGAGATAGATCAGTTTTATACTACACTGTGGAATATTACAGCCAAGGAACAAAATTGGAAACAAGAAGAAGGCCTTCCTCCAAGTCAAATAAGAGCCAGGTTTGTGGATATAAAAGCCCGCTAAGAGTAAGAATATACTGTATATTTTTCAGCGCATTAAAAACATAATGAAGAAAATATTTTATTTTTGTGTATTTTGGGCAAAAAATTGCATACTATGGCTTTAAGCAGACTACTAAACTCACATAAAACTTGATGAATAATGAATCAATTTGTAAATTTCCCTTACACCAAGATTTGCACCAAGCCTCCAAAGTTTGTTATTGAACTCTTATGGATGTAGTTATATTTCCTACATCAACCAAAACAACTCTTCTTTCCTGATCTGGCTATAGGAGACGGGGCTTTATAGGCATAATATTACTATGCAATACAAGTCTAACAAAGCACACTGCAGCATTTTAAACAGTTAAAAGATTGACAACAACAAGTCTGAAACAGTTGTAGCATGCATGTAAACATTTCCCAACAAATCACATCTCGTCATTTCACCTTCCTCTGCACTGTGTTGCGTATTTTCTTAGCAGCACAATTTTGGCTTACTCTGATCATCTGAGTCTGTATACAGAAAGTTACAAAATAAAAAAAATGCTTCTTCATCCATAAGAAGTGAGCCGGAAAGCAAGCCGGAGCGGACAAATAGCTCCAATTTCTAGCGGCGCTCAGGTTGACAGGAAGCAGCGCCTCCTCTACACGCACACATACACTTAATTAAACAGTATTTGTAGGGGCTGAAAAGCGAATCTGACAGCACAAAGCAGCTAGAGCTCTCAGGCCGGGATGACTTAGAAAAACTTTAAGCCCATTTGACACGGAGGACACACCCAGGCGTTTTATCTTCCTGACATGACAACTTAAGGATTTTTAAAAGCAAGGTTTTTTTTCTCTTAGCACAAATAAGACAAAATGGATTTAAAATAAAGAGAGGATGCAGTTATTTAAACAAGAGGTGGTATGTGAGCACTTTATAACTTCTTAAATAACAGCCCTTGAGTACTAATGAAACAACTGTCTTAACCAATTGTGTTTCAAGTCATTTATATGCTCTGCCTTCTCAGTAGCAGAAATATCAGCCTCCTCAACCCCTGTCTCCTCATTTTCACTATCATCAATAAGAAATGGTCATTCTCAAATTCTTGTAGGACTAAAATAAGATCAGACTAAATACACGTTTGTAGGGCACCTATGCTAATCTGATCTAAAGATTTAAAGGTGCATTATGTAACATTTCCACCACTTGTTAGTCTCTTCGTAATTTAATGCAATATTTAAGTTTCAGTTTAATGCTTTACTGTGGAACATTCCAGGCAAAAAATAACATCTCCATGGATACAAGGAAACTGCATAGTGCACCTTTAATTAACAATTTATTCATTAACTTCTAGCGAAGGATTATTTAGCAAAATACTGTGCATGAAACAAAACATTTGTGTACATACCATCTCCAGGAATGATGCGCAGTGTGACGGTGTTGCCGGCCTCCTTGATGAGGTTGACGATATCCGAGTGGGACTTGTTGGTAATGGAGCAGCCGTTCACAGCGAGGATGCGGTCCCCCACCTTCAGCTTCCCGCAGCGGTCAGCTGGGCTCCCCTCGATGATGCGCCCTATTTTATGGGGCATGGCCACACATGCATTGCCAGCTGTGGTCACCATTGTCACATTTTCAAGCATTATGTGTGGTGTTCATTTGCAGGGAAATTAGCGGGAAAAGGGAAAATTGGAATAAGAGCAGAGAAGAAGAAGAATGTTAGGGGTTAAATTACCGATTGCAAGCCAAGCCAAAGCACCAGGAGAACTGCAGGTTACAATGCAAGGACAAAGTAGGCTCATTTGTACTGAGACGGCGAAGAAAAATGTCTTATATATCCATGACTATTTTATATTCACGACTGTTAGAAATTCAATATATCAACCAAATGGGTATATTTTGAACTATCATATGTCTTCCCCTATAAACTGAAATAATATCAGTCATTAGCTTTCGATGTCTTGAAAGGGCACTCTTTATCTCCAAGGCAGAAAAGGTTTCAAAAGCTCATCTAGACTCCCATCCAGAAGTCATTTGATAATCTGATGGTGCTGGTCTGAGAAACTTGTAATGCACTGAGCTAAATAAGTCCAGACTGCTACCATCAGACTAAAATGACATCTGGATGCCAGTCAAAACGTTGATTTCAAAAATAGTCCAGATGACTACCTTTGAAACCTCTGAAAACTTCTGAAACCTTTTCTCCATTGGACCTCTGTTGGATGAATGAGGGATTACACCAAATTGTTTATCTCTATTCAAATGTATTGGGCTTATTTCACTCTAATATAAATCTGACCTTTAAAAAGGTTCTATCCACTGTGGATTGTAAACGACTCAGAAATGTGTGGACAGAGGCTGGCTGAGCTGCTGTCGTTCAGGAGACAATAATAACGTGCTTCTCTCAATATTGACAGCACAGGCAGCGTGGGCAGAATTATGAGGTTTCTCTACTGCGAAACAGACATGGAGAACCTATTGGCTTACGAACGTTGAATTTTCTATTAGATGTGAAAGCTGGGTTAACTCATAAGCAAACCAGCCCCAAGGCCTTTCTTTTTACTTTGGCTGCTGAAATAAAGCTTGGGCACTTTGCGAGCCAACCTGGGAAGATGAACGTTTCCAGTCCACCCACACTGAAAGAGTTAGTAGTAGTGAAATGTCATAGTGGAGTAGACAGCACTACAAGGCAAAGGAGGAAGCGTAGTAAAAGTTGTACAAAAGATGAGACTTATCCACTTAGGTCTGCAGTCAAACTTTTAAGTGAATGTCAAGCCGGTGCTCTGTTGAGTTGGTATGCCTTTTCGAGATCTGATTGTAGGTACAATCAACAGCTCTGCCTATTAAAACTAGCTTGTTGAAAAGAGGGACTTGTGTTTATCTGAATCAGTTCAGTATTTGATATTTTTGTAACATAAGTATGCAGTATAATTAGCTGTTTAATGTCATATTACATTGTTCATTATAATGAATAGGGATGCACTGATCCGGCTTTTTCAGTTACGTTACCAATTCTGATACTATAGATTTAAGTAACTGCCAATACCAGATATCAACTGGTGGATTTTTTTTCTCCTTAAAACATAAATATGACTGAAATGATCTAAATGTGTTGCTGTTATTTATGTCTTAAGTCACTACAGAACCACTTTGAGAAAAAAGTTCAAATATTCTGAGACTTTCTGGCCATCAACAACCAGTAAATAGTCTTATTACATCAATTCATATGAAACGATATTTGGAAGAAATTCAGCAAGTTCCCTAGTAATGAATGAATTAATTACAATGTTCAAATACAGTATATTGTAGTGTAATTAGCACCAATTGCCAACTATGCCAACTATCTAACTGCTGCTAATCTTAAACAACCAAACCCTAACCATTTCCTAATCCTAACTTTGACCATAATCATACTTATAACTCTGTTCCTAAACTTCATTTCTTTTACTGAGCAATCATAGCAGACCATCCTCTGGACCTGACTATTTAGCTGTCACCAAGCAAATAACAAACAGCACATTTCTTGATTAGAGCATCTGCAGAGCGGCTGGACAATTTTTATTTTATTTTTTATTAAGAACTGTTTTTGTTTGTGTTCTACAAAAAAGGAGAGCACAATTCAAAACAGGGCATCGGCACTGCAGAGTGCCTGAACAAATCAACTCAGTGGCTATGTCAACTCAACAGTGCAGCGGCAATCAGGCAATGAACTAAAAACTAGGATGCTAAGACTTTCCGATTTGAATGAACACATTAACCTTGCTAATCAATTCTTTGTTCACTAATTTGGGGTGGGACGAGATACAATTTCTACAAAACGAGACAAGACATAAGACTGGATCTAAGAGAACGAGACGAAACGAGATTCTGACATTCTTTATAATAAATAAATAGTGAAATCCAGTTCCCAATTTTAGCTTCACCATTTTTGATCTACTTTATTTAATATTTCTGCTGCCATTGTAAGACTATATTATAAGATAATTTTCAGCATGTGTACACAATCTCGTGGCAGTTTTGTCTCACGAGATCTTGTGCAACGAGAGCTCGCCCATCCCTATTAATGTCACAGAGCTGCTTGTTTAAATTGCCATTTTGCTCCTGTTGGCAACCTGGCGGGGAGGAGAAGCCATTTAGGTTCAGCTGAATAATACAAGTGGCTTATGTAAGACCCACTCCACTTGTGATCAATTATGAAAGCACACAGAACAGCAGCCGTAGCAGCAGAGAAAGGGGTCTTAGCGTCGTATAGTTTGACATGTGCAGAAAATGAAAATGAGCAAGAAGAAACGCTGCTTTGAAGAGCGCCCGTATTGATCTTGAGACACTGTAAATAGCTTGGATCGGTGAAGGTTGTCAGAGTTTTTAGCATGCAGAGGTTTTTATAGTGGAGGCAGAGTCAGGCTGTACAGTTGGAAGGATAAAAGGCCCGAGTCATAAGAGAGAGAGAGAGGGAGGGAGCTATAAAATGTGTTTTATGTTTGACTAAGTGCAACACAATACAGTCCCTATCAGTATTTCAGTCAACAACATATAAAACGATCTGCTAATAGCCCTAACTTAACGAAAATGAAAAAGTTCTTGGGACATTCTGACTAAATTCTGTGTATATTTATCAGTGGTAATTATGAAAAAAAGATTTAAAGCATATTCAGCTAAGATTTAGTTAAATTATGCTTCTCAATTTTAGTCTAATTCTAGTCAGAAAGTCTTGCTAAAGTCTTGTAGTTGACCAACTGTATAATACAATTAGTAACCCTAAAGCTAGATTTCTAGAATTATATGGATACTTTGCAGTGATATCATGATGGGGGTGCTCTATATGCAAGTCTATAGTCAAATGTTGAGGAGGTACCATGGAGACACTGTCAAAAAAGTTTTAAGAGCTTCAGATAGAGCAGTGTCTACAGTTAGTTACACACCCTGAGGAAATGTTGATGATATCTGCTTCAAAATATCAATAGCATAGACCATCAACCACATGTACAAAGGATGTTGAGTTTGCTACTTTGCGTCACTATGGCCTAAAATTAAAATCATGTTGTTTCAATGGTAGCTTGGATCCATTTTCCACTTCCCTACTATTAATTTAGCATTCATCAGCATTAACAAAAATACATACAATTTTAGCTATAGTTGTATTCAGCTATTTAATCTGAATTTATTTATTTTTGTTACATTTTTGACAGCAAATAATAAATTGCCAAAAAAGTCGTTGCTGACTATACTAACACAGGTATGTATTGTGTATTGACTCGCTTTGCAATTTGTGTAGCAGGAAGCATCTTACCGAAAGTAGTTCCCGCGTCCGGTCGAGACACGGAGGAGACTATTACAAAACCGAACCCCTCGTTCTCCCCGCGGCGGATCTCTACGTCATAAGGCTGCAGGGCGGAGCTTGTGTTGGCAGTGGAGGTGGCGATGGGGGGCTGGGACGACGTGGTAGGGGCCGAGATTGGGACGACTGTATTTCCACTGCTGTTTGCCCCTCTCTCTCCTCCCCCTCCTCCTCCTCCTCCCCCACTCCCGATGCCCGATGTAGAGCCGCTGCCCGAGCTGACTGTGTTGAGAGAGTTCTGGCTGCCCTGTGGCGTACGTTTGCCGATTTCCTCTGTCAGGCTGGGTGCTTGGTTACTGCTGTGGTGGGACGAAGCAGGCGAGGGCGGCACGTCTCCCTCGGCTTTCACTAAAGATCAGAAAGAAGATGTGGTTAACAAGGTAAGAGGATTTGAAGAGGCCATGTTACACTATTTTCTGGTCTATGTTATAATGTTGTTTCCTCATCACAAACATAGCTGGGGTTGTGTTTTGTTTCATTCACGCATGTTTAACACACAGAAGCTGCATATTTAGGCTGAATTCTCTCAAACAGAAGACACTCTGTCCCAACTTGTGAAGTCATGTGTCAATACAGGAAGTATTCCACTGTGTTTTTAAAGTCCATACACCTTCTCCATTGAGATGTCATTGCTTTGCATTGACTGTTCACTGTATGACATTAAATTTATGTCCACAAAAAATGCTCAGAGGAATAGTGTTTTTATAGCTTAAAATACCTTGAAAATATTTATTCTTACTATGAGTGTGGTTGCCTTTCCCAAAATCTAACCTTTATGTACATGTTGCCATGGAATCATACCGGTTTAATGTCCCACTATGAACCATTCCAGGGAAAAAACAATTACATCTCCATGGAGACTGAGAAGTTACAGTCAGATGCAAAAATACATTCTCCTGTACTTTTAGAAAAAAACTGAATTGCTTCTCAAAGATCATTTATATTGTGGCCAGAATGACGATTATCATCTAATTTAGTAATCATCTCTTAAGATTATAGATGATTATACCTCGACACATTTCACTGGTCCAGCTAAGTTGATAAGACAAGTCCAGTGAGATCAGCCTGAAAGAAGCTCCACAACTATCTGCTCATCTGTTTAGACCAAAATATGAACTAACGCGCTGTGTGCCGCTGTGTATCTGGGCATTTCATTTCCTGTACAGCTACTCAAAGGAGGCGCCTCATATTCTCAACGCTCCAAGGCAGACTGAGAGACGCAGAAAATGCACTAATGTCTGCTTGCTGTCATCGGGCCGAAGGTTGACTGGCCTCTCCATCATATTTATGGCTCTTTCTTTATCGTGTGCAGGGGGAGATTGTTAGTCTGCAAAACTGTGCTGCTGCTTTCTGAAGTTCTACACATGCAATAACAGGGGAACTCTGCAACAAAAGCACTTTGGTACTTAAATACACAACCACTGATCTATATCTTGATTTAAAAGCCCAGAGTGACTGAACCACTTGTATCAACAAAAGTATATAAAATGAAAAGCACACTGCAAAACAGAATGGCCAGATGCAGTTCAGATGACTTGGATTCAGCATATTCTTCTTAATTTGAAGAGATTTTATCTGAAGAGACTTCCTGGTAAAATAAAAGGTTAAATATGGCCTTTAATATAGTTTATAAATATATAAAATAGATGGAGGATTTGACCTATTATGTATACAGTATATATGTATATATATTTAGGGTTGATGGGGGAATCTGGAGCGTCCAACGAAGAAACACCCAGACATAGAGAGAAAAAAACAAACACACACAAAAGCCCAGGAGATGAACCTAGAACTTTCTGTAAGGTGATAAGCAATAAATTGCTTATTATTTCAAACTAAATTAGTTTCCACTAGGATAAGGAAGACATCTATATATATATATATATATATTTTTTTTTTTTAACTTTCAAGCCTAAATCTTAACAACCACCAAAAATGTCATGAAGTTCCAAATAGACCCTACAAGCAACTACATTTAAAAATTAAGTCAGATCAAATACAGATAGCTAGTCTGAATCAAATCATCTGAATGAAGGAATTTTAACCTAATTTACCAATATGCATACAATATACAGCATAGCACTTATCAGAAGCCCCAGAGAATGCTGTAGTCTACTTAATATCCTGTGTGTTTCTTACCGGCGTAGTTGGTCTTGCGTCGTACGGTGAGGTTGACGTGGACCCTGCTTGGCTGCTTGCTGCATCAGCTGCACCACCAGTTGGTGTGATTTGCCCACCACCGCTGTGCCGTCCACACATATGAGCTCATCTCCCGAGCGGAGACGCCCATCCTCATCTGCAGCACCATATTTCACTATGTGGCCAATATAAATCTGCAACACAAGCACAATGTGACAGGCCTAATCAACAATAAGTGCATAAATAAACTAAACTAGAGACAAAAAGGTTCAGAGAAAGTGCAGTCCACACATTTCTGATTAGTGATGTCAGTTTAACTTCTATTGACCGCTGTTAATGAGTCTTTGAAATACGTCAGGTTGTTCAATAAAAGAGTGCATTTGAGGCCAAGTGAATACAAATATGCAGAATTAAAGGTCCTGTACTGGATTTTTTCATTGTGTAAGCAGCTTAGGGTCAAAATTAACCCTTATACTGTCTGCATCCAATTATAAACTGTCCAATAATCAGGAAGTACACTGTTAGTATGCTAGTTGTTGCTAACTGTACCAGGGCTGCAAAACTCTGTTCTGATTACTGAAAATTGTGAAAAGTGCTTATAAAAACAAGGTGAGTAAGTATTAATTTGGATCACTGCAAACTGTTTAAAATGACCTAGTTCTGTTTTTCACATTATTAAGAGAGTAAAAATCAGATACAGAGCCTTTAAGTCTTTTTTTTTTTCTTTAATTATTCCCTTTTTTCTTTTTTGAATGGCTTATGCCTGATAAAAAAAGAAACTACCTCAAACACTGTTATTGATTATTTTCCATGGCTATTACAGATACTTCGGTCCACGCACTTATACCTATTAATATGAATTTGTCTGTATATGGTGGAAACACTATAGTAGAGAGATACTTGAGAAGGGTTATAATTGACTCACTGGCTCTCCGGGCTCATTTCCTCCGAGGATCCTAAAGCCAAAGCCTGTGTCCTTCCTCCACAGGAAAATGTCCTGCTCCTGGAAGTCTGGAACTGAAGAACAATCAAACATTAACAATGTACAGGATCTACAGTTATACTTGTACATGCCAATACCAATAGTACAGAACACGGCTCTACTTTAGTCCACAACCATACAAGAAAAACAGCCACACGTTTATGTCTGATTTGTAGCTTTGCAGGTATGAAATATTTTCCAGGTAAGCTCATAGCTCATTTTTAACACAGTGAGATTTTATGCAGTCTGGTCACGACTCCCTTCACCATGTTTCAAGCCAGGCTTAAACACTGCCATGCAATCAGATTTGTTTATTTCAGTGACGCATGGAAAACTAAAAAGCATCCCACTTTGAATCAAATAGTTTACTGTAGTGCTTTTTGTCTTCACCTGGAAATCCAGAATGATCGCTCTGTTTTTTTTAATACAGATCAATATCAGTTTGGTCCCCACGCCCTTCGCTGAATCTCAAGCCCGTTCAAATGCAATCGCTCAAATGCTTTTGTGCAATCAGATTCGTTGTTTTTTTCTCAGAGTTGTTTTTTTCAGTATGAGAAACGAAGGAGCTCACTGGTCACACATCATTTACAAACAAGATTAAATTGATCTCACCTCAGATTAACAGAGTTTAGTGCTTTGCTCATTGATTCGAAAGAAATCCGCAATGTTTTTTAAGCACCTGCAATATTTTTTCCTTTTTTTCTGATAAGATGTACCACGCATGTCCCTGATTAGCTAATTCACCTCCCAATTGTGCCCATTTGGAAACTGGAAGATTCACCAGTGACCAGACTCACATCTTTGTAAAGTACAGAAGAAGTGTGTACTCTGGATCCCAAGCAAGCTTGGTTCATTGACGTTGCAGAAACCCATGATGTTTTTCAGATTTGATACGGACAGACCGTGCCCATCTGAACTCAGGAAGACGGAGACTAACATCTTTATAAAGTATTGGAGAAGTGTGTTTTCTTGATCCCAGGCAAATGAACTATTCGTTTCAAAGGGGATCTATTTTCAGCAAAAAAAAAAATTGAGAGAGCTAAAAACAGTACTCGTCCTACCAAAAATATGTTATTCTTTTATAGATCTTTAAATAACTCCAAATGATAGTCCTAGCTCTGTCTAAAGTAAGGAGTTTGAGAGTAGAGGAAAAAAAATGCTTTAACAGTCATCTATTGCTACTGTATGTGGGTGATTTCATGATCGTTTTGTGTCACTGCAAGAAATCCATCCATCCACCACCCCCTCGTGTGACCGCTTGACATAGACATTAATACAAGCTAGAGTTGTTATTGCTCTCTATCTATTTACTTGATTAGACTGAGAAATCAAAGTTGATGTGTGCGCCCAAGCCTGTCGCCCTTAATCTGAACCCACAGCCAGTGACGGATCGCGCGCATACCGAATTAAGTTTGTGTCCTCTGGTGTAAGTGGGAGGACTCTTCGCTCCTAGTTTTGCATATTTATACTTGTCTTTATGTATGTACAAGCGAACTAACTATTGAACAGAGATTTCCATAGAGCTATCACAGGGCACCATCTCCAGGGCCAGGGAAGCCAGGGAGACGCGATCCGAGCGGCAGAAGGCCTAACCAGGCTGCTACCAATCTGTTCCCTTCGTCAACAGCTAAAATCCCTGCGGAGTGCTGCCATCGGCTCCAATCTATCACCATGGAGCTGCGAAAGGGACCGGAGAGGAAAAGTCACCGGGTTAACTGTAGCAATCTGTGCTTCCACTTTGGGGGGGTCAGTCGTGGTTAGGCCGCACTGCTGTCAATGAATAGATCCATAAGTGATCGCCATGGCAGGGCATCTGGGTGAGGACGGATCGATATTTTCCAAAGACGGATGACCATATGCTGAGTTCATGGCATTACAGTGAAAAACTGTTGGGCACTAATGAGAGCAGCATGGTGGGGAGATTAAAGTTGCACTGTGTAATCTTTCTGTCTGAGGATCCGCTTTTTGCTCGTCTCCATGGAGATGTAATTGCTTTACCTGTACTGCATTAAACTTATCTAGCTTGCAGTTATTCAATTACAGATGTTTTCACAAAGATCCCTTGAAAAACATGCTTTCTTACAATGAGTGAAGGGTTCGTTCTACACAGATCTGACTTGTAACTTGACTTCGATTTTTCTTTACAATACAGTAAAAGATGTATGTAGGACAGTTCTCAAGATGGCTTTTAGATAGCAGCCAAAATAACAAACACATCTCCTACTATGTTCGCTTTAATTAAAGGTGTACTGCACAATATTTCTGCTGGAGGGTTCACATCCTGCTTGTCTCCATGGAGATGTTATTGCTTTGACTGGAATGTGACATTATGACATTAAACATATGCATTCATTACAGCTGTTTCCTTCTGTGAATAGGGATGACTCTCCACAGATCTGAATTGTAAAGTATCGCCGTGCTGTAACCTGCTTGTCTGCCTTGTGATAATATGTATAATGTCATATTGTGGAACATTCTAGACAAAGCAATAACATTTCCACACAGACAAGCAGGTGGTGGACCCCCCCACTAAAAATGTTGCGCAGTTCACCTTTAAAACCTAAGTGGTTAATGTTAAAAGAAGAAAAAAATGCATGGAGGCAAGCAAGTGACTGACTCTCTACCAGAAAAGCTACGTAGTGCACCTTTAACCTGAAGATGGAATATTAATGTGTGAATGCTGGAATTCCGCAGGTGAGTTTTAAGTCTCACAGCAGGTCATTCTTTAAAGGGATTTCTCAGCTGGGTACATTGTGTGCTTATAGGACCTTGATCTCTGCAGACTTTTTCATTACGCCAAATGTTGCGTAGAGAAAGTTCTTAGCCACAGCCAAGGCCTAGAGGGTTAGTACAGTAGGTTTTAGGAGGAAGACTCAATGCAGCATGAAGAAAGGGGGCCGATTTACACCTACGGTTACAGGTCAGTCCACAACCTCCCTGCTCCCCTCATGTTCACGCTATTAAAACCAACTAGCTAGAACCATTCAATAGCCCCGTACTTATGCGGTGCTTGTGGTTAATCTTTTTATTTAAAGCGAAGTCTCCGGTTAATTTCCCATTAAGAGTGACCTTGTGCTATTCCCTACTCCCAGATGTCAATTTAGCCTTCTATCTAATGCCAACAACTGTGTAGAGGAGGCACAATATTGCAGCTCCAGCCAGAATCCCACTGCAGAAATGTAGCTGTGTCCCTCTTGGTTTTATTTTACTCTGTTCTCTCCTCCCTTATTTTTGCTATATTCATGGAAACCTGTTTTACTAGCCTCAGTCTTTCTGTCTACATTGCGCCATATGGGCATCTTAAATTCTAATAACAAGTGTATCCAGGAGGAGTGGGACGATGTTATCCTATCTCTGCTTTGGGCTCCTGTGTTGAACTTGGCAGTGAATGCAAGGGTTATTCTATTTAATTGGAGCATCCTCCCTTTAGAGAGGCAGGCCTGACAGAGGCGTGCAATCCACTGACATTCATTCTACTACGGACGCTAAAAATATGCCCAAAGTGTCTTCGGGGATGTCTGGTGTAGTAAAAGTGTGTCAATGGCGGTATTGTTGGCAATAGGAACAAAGTCGCTCACATTGGACTTGTGTGGGCTTATTAAACACATTAGAAATACAGTGTTAATGAAATGAGCGTAACAAAATACGACAGCCTTCTCTTTTTGTCTCATCTATGACTGAAATAGCCTTGCTTACTACAAACCAATAGGCTAGTCTCAAAATTATATTGACTTATCGTTCAATAAATTATAGCTGGAACAGTATTTTTTGGATCACTATAATTATCTTTTGTATTCTTTCTGTACACTAGTGGGGATTTTTTTGTTATTTCTTTTTGGTAGTATCATATGCATCTCTGATAGATAGCTGCAGCGAGTAGTGGATTTTTTTTTTTTCTGTTTGTACCAAAATGACAATGTGATGCTGCCAAATTGTACGCATATAAGAGATTAAGAAAATAAAATTTTAAAGCAAAGTAAGTACAGAGCAGTGGGCGTATGCCAGGGGTTGTGAAAACGAGGATTGATTTGCAATATGGCATCTTAAAAATAAGCAATTAAAGATTGCTCAAAGATGCACTAATCACTCCAAAAACAACTTCAAGAGGGTAAATGAGAAGGAGAAACATCTATAAGCTCTGAAAAGTCAATTTTGCATAAGAGTTCTGCTTTAAACTCTACAGCAAGCATCTAAACTTAACATTCATTCATACTAAAACTAATCTACTAAACCCAAATGTAACACTTAAAAGGTGCACTATGCAACTTTCTGGTTGGGGGTCCGTTACCTGCTTATATAGCTAGTATTCTGATTGTGAGCGGGGTTGCCTCTCCGCAGATATTACCTGTAACTTGTCTGGTTTGGTCTCCATAAAGATAAAAAGGTTTAATACCATTCTGTGAGACATCCCAGACAAACCAATAACATCTACATGGAGAAAAGCATTTGTCGGACCCTCCACCAGAAAAGTTACACAATGTACCTTTAATCCAACTATACGCGACACCAGCCACACCATCGCTCCCCTATAAAACTCACCCCATGCACCATGCAGCCCTTCTCCAACCGCCACCAGAATAAAATATACTTACGCCTACTTTCATACATGCTCCTGGACTGGACCCAGATTTTGACAGGGTCCGGTTTCCTTTGGATGGTCCCGTCGGCGGGGGAGTCCTGGGGGGGCAGGCCGGGCAGGGGTTGTGACGGGGCAGGGGGGGCTGACGTCTCGTTGAGGGGGGCGGCCAGAGACGAGTGCACAGGCGAGTCTGTGTGGGCACTCCGGTGGCTGGACACGCTGTGCTGGGAGCTGTTCTGACTGTCCTTCCTCGTGAGTTGCTGTTAACAAAGCAAATGAAGGTCAGTCCAGTACATGTCCAGTAGAAATCAGATAACTAGAGAAATCAGATAACTCGATCATAAAGTAACACTGTGTGAGTGTTTACTTATACAAAATAAATCTGATCATCATAAACAAATGGTTTCCTCTATGACTGCAGTTACATACATTGTCATCATATTTTTACAGCTATAGGATTAGATAAGACAAGAAAGCAAAATTTCTTTCTGATCATTGTCATTCCGATCACTCACATTAGATTTTGTGGTTTAGAGATAATTTAAATTATATTAAATGTCCAGAAATCGGATAATCATCAAGTTTTGGTGTGCATGTGAATGGATTTTTAGAGTAACTGTTATATTTGGAATACAAAGTACAATGGATTTTAAAACAACTCTTTTGATTTTTAACACTCCTTTTCATTTTTGTCCTTGCCACTTTTGCATAATTTTCCTTGTCAAACCAGTACACGTGTGAACAATCAGAAACTGTGCATGACCTTTCAGTAATCTGATAACTTCAGAAATCAGATAATGATCAGATTTTGGTGTGTATGTAAGCATAGCCACTAAATAAGGTACAGATGGGACAAAAGGTACAGTGGGGGAGTTTTGTAATGTGCAAATCCTGAGCAAATGTCAATTCAAAAACGTTAATTTTTTCTTCTTTTGTACCAGAACTTCTTGGGTTCGTTTTAAAGACAATACGGCTTGCAGCTCGCAGTTGAAACATGTCAACAAGATAAATACATCTCCTACTGTACGGTCTTTAAAAATAACTCAAGAAGCTGAGCAAATGTCTTGATAAAGAATGAATGAATCTTGTTGTGGCTTTGGTCTGTAGCTTTTCAACGTGACTACATTTGCTCAGAGACAAACAACAACAGTGTATTTTAAGGTACAAACTGTTGGTCCGTTAGAATTAATGATCACAATTTGACTGATTCTTTAAAAAATATATAAATAAGTTACGCACAAATCAGTCATTACAGATCTGAGAAGTCGAATTTAGTTCATAAAAATATGTGTCCAGCTTTGACACAGATTAAACTGCAATGTGGGGGAGAGGTTACTCCTTTGCTATAGCACATGTGAAAAATCCACTGTCACTTGGGTGGGAATTTCATAGAACACAAGGAATGATAAAGGGATTTAAACAGAGGATTATCAAACAGTAGCGGGAAATAGAGTCGGGTGGCTTCTCATGATTAAGTAAAAGAGGGGGAAAAAAAACTACAACTCAACTGAAGGGACTGGATAGCTCTTTTCTTTTCTTCAATACCGTGGAATATATTAAAACTACATAAGCAGTGATACAGACTTGAATAATACACACAGCAGGTTCAGAAAGCAGGATTCAACTACTGACAGTGTAGACCTCCTCAGAGATACTGCAGTGCCCTGTAGCATGGGCCTTTAAGCACCTGGTTTAACTATGACCTTCACTGCTCTCTACTCCATAAGCTTATCTATATAGTCCTTCACATCATTTTCTTCACTATATACTACAACATACTGAGTTGTAATAGCAGTATTAGTAGTAAGAAAGGCAGCATAAAAGTAACTAATTGAAAGTACTACAGAAAGTACATTCCTATTTGTATTTGAGCATGTATAATAAGTAAAATATTAATGTCTTTGGTTTTAGTATTTTCAACTTAAAAGGTGCAACACGTAGCTTGCACTCTTGTTGGTTTAGAAAAGGAAGTACAATTACAACTAAACTTGTGTTGCCAGTGCTTTCACCTGGATGTAGTGGACACATACATGTTTTTTTGTTTTGTTTTGTTTTTTCATTCTCAATGCCAAATGAAAAAATTCCACCACTTGGTCATGTTTACAAAATGTGAAATAAAAATGTTATATATGGTTTACCTTGAAGAAGATGTAAACCTGACTGTAGCTGTTCAATATTGGTAGTAACTTGTATTTTTTGTGCAATAGCAGATCATATTTCTCCCACCCTTGCCTGTAAATGAAGTAATCAATAGGAGAAACAAAGAGTATAAAACCAACCCAGTCTCCTTACAGCACCGTACAATCCTGTCCTTTGGATGCGAAGGATAAAAATACACTGTGAAAATGGGTGGAGGCAAGGAGCTAATCTGCTCTTCTGTATCAAAGGGCTTCAAAGTACTTCTCATTACTCAAATCAGTTTCACGCACCTCTGCAATCCATGTTTCATTTATTGCTCTGGTTAAAGCATTCAAATCTTTAAAGAACAAATATTATGCAGTCTTGTGGCTTTAATCCCGTTCAAATCATGCTTTTGGTTACCTCAGGATGAGTATTTTACAATGATTAACTTATAATCAATTGGAAAAAAACATTTCAGTGGAGCCATGCATTTGTTGTGAAGGCAATTTGACCACAGAATGAGTCCAGTGATGGTTTATGGCCGTTAAACCCGTGCAGAAGAAGTCTAGATTTTTACCTGTGATGCAACAATCCAGGCAAAATAAAAAAGGAGAATTTTAGAGTACTCGGCGTTATATTTATGGATAAATGAAACATGTGTAAAATACAACAAAATACAGGTATGTTTCTGATGAGGGGACATTAATATGGTTAAACTTTAACAATATGAATTTTGCATAATATGTGCCCTTTAAAGGATCACTGCACAACTTTCTTGGTGGAGGGTCCGCTACCTACTTTGCCTGGAATGTTCCATGGTATGACATTAAACATATCCATCTAGCCTTTAGCCATTATGGGTGTTTCTATTGCTCAAAATACAATAATTCCTTCTATGAATAGGGGTGACTCTCCATAGATCTGAATTGTAATGTAGCATAGTGCTCTAACCTGCTCGTCTCCCTTGTGATAGATAAATTTAACCTACACTGTGGAACATTTTAGACAAAGCTATAACATCTCCATGGGGACAAGCAGGCGACGGACCCTCCACCAAAAAGTTGCGCAGTGTATCTTTAAGTAAACATTGACTAAGTCCAGTGGCCTAAATGGTAAGGTTATTTTAGGTCCACTTCAAAGGAGAAATGTGGAAAAATCAATGAACTTTTGTAATTAGGCGCAGATGTAAAGCTGAACTCCAACCCGAGAAATGATTTTTTTTTGCAGTTAATCAGGGCCTATGCGATTTGATGAGACACAAAATTGAGAAAACCCACTCTGAATTCCGGGATGGGTCTATTAGAATTGACCTTCGGCAGTCACAGTGCTCCTTGTCTAGTCCGATAACTTATTAAGGAGGCAGGAGACAGGCAACAGACTGGGTGGGGGCAATACAAACAAATGTACTGCTTCATCAAATCAATGAACAACTGCTATCTACCTTAAAGGGCCCATGTAACGTTATTTTCTGAGCTGTGTTAAAATGTTGTTTCCTCATCAAAAACAGACCTGGACACACCAATCATGCATATTTAGGCATTTAGTTCTTCTCTAAATCATAAACACCTTGTGATGTCATGTGGTAAGATAGGAATTGCTGGCCTGTGTTTTTAAACTCCATACAACTTCAATAGAATCATTTTGATAATTTCAGACCTGGAAATGCCGATCTCTACTGAACAAAAGGTAAAAAGTACCCTGTTAACTTGAAAACTTCGACTGCATGATGTCACAAGGTGGCTTCAGAGATATAGACAAATAATAAAGGGTTACTCAAACATGTGTGAATGAAACAAAACACAACTCCAGGTGTGTATTTGATGAGGTGACAACACTGTAACATGGCTGAAAACTCACAAGAAAATATTTTGCATAATATAAGACCTTTAAAAAATCTGACCTTTTTTTTTTTTTTTAAGATTTCAGTTTCTACTGTTATAATGACATATATTCATTACAAACATACCCAGAGGTTTGTTTCTTTTGTTTAAACCTCTTGGTATATTGGAGCCTGTATTCTCTATACTCTCTATACTGTCTCTGTGCATGTATTAAACAGCTACTTTCTCCTACTCCAGAAGACACTGGCCAATCACCGAGCTCCCCACATCCCATAAGGTCATAATTCATTTATCATGAAAGCTGTGCACATCTTAGTATCCACTGACTCTCACAGCACCATACCAAACAGTATAGAAGTAAAGCCCTTTATAGCCACTTGAGCGAAGTATTACCATATTGCATCTATAGTAATACAAAAGCTGAAAACTGCAGTCTGACCCATCACCATTCCTACAATACCATCACATACCGTCCTAGTGTAATCTCTGTACGGTGGGGCCAACTCATAATTATCCTGAAAGAATACAAAAAACAACACGTGATAAAACACTTGAATCAAATCAACAGCACGAGCCCCTCTCCCAGCACCTCACATCACACTGGGAGCACCTAACAGCAGCAGCCGAGCACCCAGCCTCCATAAGCCTGTTAGCAACCCAGTTCACGTGGCCATCAAAGCCCCCCGCACCCCCGGAGCATAGAGGGGTGATGATGAAAAAGTGGGGAGAGAGAGGAGGGGAGATAGGATACCAGGATCCACCCACATAAAGCACACTGGATGTAGCTTACACACACACATACACACACATTTTAAGTTCCAAGCAGAGTTAACAGGTTCACGATACTGTACTATGCAACACGGCCAATTTATAGTCAAAGCAAAACTACTCACCAATTTGGGGCTCTTCTTTGCAGGTGCCACTCCTGTGAAGCCAAACAGAAAAAAAAAACAAAAGTAGGTTACCACAATAGTTTTAATCCAGAAAATATAGAAAAACAAAACAGGTCAAAACAGTGCGCGCCAAGCCCTGTTCTGCCGCTGTGGCTGCTACTATCGCGTCCCCTGCTCGGATCCTGCGCTCAGCGGCGGCGGTGGCAGTGGCAGGGGGGTGGGGGTGGAGGAGGGGGGGGGCAGGCAGCGCCGCGATCTATCTGCATCACTGCCGCGGTCAGCGCCGGCTTTGACTGGTGCAGCGCAAGAGACAGAAGAGAGAGGCTGGCCAGAGACAACCCCCAGGGCTCCAGCCTGGGTTTAGTGCGAGGCGCAGTGGTGACATGAGAGGGAGAGGAGAGGGGGGAGTTCACAAGAGCCCAAAGAGCAACTAATGCCATAGAAAAGAGAAGAGAGAAAGACAGCTGTGCTCTAGAGTCCATGCCGTAGCATTACCCATGGAAAAGGAGTCCAAGATACTGAACACTAAATTATAGGCAACCGTCAGTTCCCCTCTTACTGAGACCATCTTCGTGTGTCCACTGAGCGCCGCACTCCTCGGTCGAAGGCTCCAGCATCTATAGGCAGTTAGCGCGTCCTCCTGTCTCTCCCTTCTCCGGCTGCTTTTCCTTTTTTCTTTCGCTCACCTCTCTGCACACTGCCCTCCCCTCTCACTCTCTCTTCCCCTCAGCATCAGTGAAGCGCGCTCCCTCGCCCTCCTCCCATTTCCCCTCCTTTTGAAGCTCACATCCATGCAGCGGCACACACAAATCCATGCATGCTTAAGGTGTGACAGGCAGTGCCGCGCGTGAACGAGCAGAGCACACAAATATCATGGAGAAATATCATTACGCCACACAAAAGGAGGAGTGACTGATGGCTGCTACGCTAACTCAGTGGAGATCTAGTCGCAAATGTGTTTTAAGCACACACAAGCGCACTCTGCCTCTCTTACTCTGCCTGCTGAAATAATCTGCTGTATGAAGTTATGGAAATGAGACGCTGATATTAAGACTGATATGTGTAATCTCTGAATGTACAACAATGTTCAGTGGAACCAAACATCCAAACTCCACCTCCAACCACGTTTCGAATACAGCGCCTAAACTGGGTGACTAAAGAAAAAAGTGGTGGAGGTGGTGGGGGTCTAACAGGTGACCACACTTCAAACTCCACTCATGCAGCCACGTGTTTGCAATCAGAAATACCAAGGTATAATAAGGGCAGTCTTGTGTGATGTCACCAACTACTTGAAATTGCAGAGGCCACCTTATTTAAACGCTTTTGACCAGAAATCTGCACATTTTCTACTAAAGCTGCCAAAAAATGTCTAGGAACAGATAGATAATGCTATTAAAACACAATATACACAGTTGAATAGTAAAAAAAAAGTAGTGGTAGTAGTGGTAGTAGTAGTAGTAGTAGTAGTAGTAGTAGTAGTAGTAGTAGTAGTAGTAGTAGTAGTAGTAGTAGTAGTAGTGTTTGGTTCCACTTTAAATGAGGGGCTACTACAAGTATTATAAAGAAATTGGTCGAGTTGTGCAAGTCAAACCATGAGGGAACAGAAGAGGATCAGATATGGATCATACACGCCTTCTCTTCCACATCTCAGACATCTGCTCCGTTCACAGCTGACAGCTCCAACTGTGTTTTGTCTGCACATTTTCTCTCCCCCCTCTCTCACTCTCTCCCTTTTCCCCCTTTCACCTATGTATCACGTCAAAAGAAATCAATTCCCGGCAGAGAATCCTGCTTTTAGATTCAATGCATGCAAAGAATTCTATGTCAGAACTCCCGAACCACAAAATGAGAACTATTTTTGTTGCTGTTGACTGTGTTTTGACTTCTTAATATACTCATACACCGCATTTAAGGTTGGATGAATTTATATTGACAGAAAAGTAATGAAAGGTGCACTATGCAACTTTTCTGGTGAAGAGCCTGCAATCTGTCAGTCTCCTTGGAGATGTAAGTGCATTGCCTTGAAAGTTGCCAGGTATTGCTTGAAATGTATAACTTTAATTTATTCGACTACTTGTGTTTCATTGCTCAAAAACATACATTCTTATTGTGAACTGTCTTGCCTCTCCACAGATATGACTGTAATTTGGCCTGGTGGTGCTACCTGCTTGTCTCTATATAGATTTATAAGAGACAAACAAAAAAAAAGTGTCAGACCATCCAGCCGAACAGTTGCTTGGTCCACCTTGTGCTCACCTTTTTGTTTTGTTTTTTCAGCTGAATTGTCAATGAGAATTTTCAAATATTGCCTAACAAGTATTGTGTGCACTCTGGTTTTTACTAAAACTTGCATACTCTCAAATAATCAACTACCACAGCCCCGAAGCTCATTTCATTCTGCTTGCTCAATCTTCCAGTGCTTGGCAGCACATATATTCTCAAAAGTAAGTAATGACAGACTGTCCAAGCTAACGGCACATTATTTGTATGCATTGTTTGTGATGGATGATCAACATTTTGCCCTGAATTCCAATGAGGACTATTAATACGATAGATGAAAAGAGTGAAAATTATAATATAAAATTAGAAATAAACTGCTAAAGGACTAATAAAAAATAATGAGTTTCATCTTACTGTTATGCAAAATTTAAGAACTTTTTCCTCCATTAGAAAGATTTAATATTTTGTTCTAAATTGTCAATCGCGATGGTAATGGCTCTTATTTTCCATTATTCTGATTGCCATGGATAAAGCTCAGGATTGAACATGAAAAATTTTGAGTTACTGACCAGATGGGCGAAATGTCCATAGAGATGCCTTACCAAATGAATATACAAAAACAACAATTTAGCGACTTCAAATCTAATTTTAAGCAGACCTTTTATGTGAAATTGACTTTTTTTTTAAAAGAGTTTTTAACCATGTTATAGTCGGGTCCATGCACCACTTACTCACCCAAAAATGTTTTTCGTTGTTTTTAAAATTAAGTAATTTTAGATGAACATTGCAGTCCAAATTATAATGTATAATGATCCACAGGTGTCATAGATTATAACTACATAGCAGACACAAGTACAGTAGGTCTTTTTAAAATTAGGCTGCCCAAAACGGCTAACCAAAACAATCTCTATTTGACACATATGGCAACAATGAAAATGCATCAATAGTTGCCTGGATTTTACATAACCTTGATTAAGAGCTTTGCATGGCCTCTTCAGCAAACAGGTCATTGTTGGCAACACACCTTTTAATAAACACTGCCCATTACACAGCAGACGATACTATCCTTTCCAGTTCCTGTGTGAACGTGATGCTAGTTCACAGTTAGCGCCGGCAGCTTCCAACAGGCAGGTCCATCTGTCACCGTGGCGACAATGCCCAGTGACCATGAGGGTCTGACAGGCGGTCTCCAAGCAACAGTGTTTGTGGTGAGCTTACTACTGCATTGAATGCGATGGCGTTGGCATAGGATTTCTGAATGATTTTTTTTTTTTCCATTAATAAAAAGCAAGATTGGAGTTCTCTCAAGACAGGATTGCAAGGTCTTCCCACGAACCCACAAAAGCCCACCCCGCACAAGGGACCGCTTTGTAGATTATCTGCAGAGGATTGTCATGGAAACACAGTACATGAAATACAGAAAGAAATGGTGCACTGGTCAAGAAGCATGACTTTCCCAATCGCTATTAAAGTTCTCTTAAATACTTAAAAAAAAATAAAATCTACTTTTCTGAGTGAATTTCAAACACCATACTTTTACTCTTATTTGAGTAATATAGGCTACTAGACAGTGTAACAGTACTCTTTTACTTGAGTAAAAGTTTTTGTTATTCTTTCCACTGTGAGTATAAAGCTACAAGTATCAAGACATTCATTATTTTGTAATTTTTTTATCCTTTGAAACAAAAAAAATCAAAGGTTATTTAATGTTTGGTGCTTCCAGTTACATTAACTTCAAATGACAGATTAGATAATGTCCGGATAGAGTAGTTTCCCAGGTTATGTATTTTTCACTCTCACTATTTTGTACTTCTATTCTAGTAATATTTTGATATAACATTGCAATTTCAGGCTACTCTACCAACCTATATCTGTAACAACGAGAGTTAGGACAGGCTTGGGGCACATTTTCCAGCCATACTCACCAAAAATAAAATAAAAAACAAAACAATGTAGTGATACATTGGCACCTTTGTTGGCAGACCCTTCTCCTCTCTCCTTTCTGCTCTCATTCCCCTTCAGGTCTGGCTGTTCATTATGGTGCCACTAGGAGTTTTAAGTCAGCAGAATTTTAAATGCGAGCAAGCAGGGCAAAAATACAAGACTTCCTTTCCCATCCAGTCAATCGATATGGTCCCTTCTGGATGTTTATCTCCTCATAATGGCTCTGTACAAAAGTATACAAGTTTCACCAATCTTATGATGCCGGTAACTCAGTCCGAGGGTTATGCAAGTTCCCATTTATTGACATTTGGCGCGTTCCTGTCCTTATATGGCCCCCGTCGGCAGAGTGCTTTTTGACAGGGGCAGTGCTTTTTGACAGGGGCAATCTGAAAGCCAGTGCAGCGCCTGCCCATCATTATGCCAATAAGTGCTATCAAGTGTGGCAGTGATCCACTCTGGTGTTTTAGCCTCTTAAAAGTCACTATCGGCGGATGACAAAAGGCACGCGAGCATTTCACACACGGCTCTGTCTTCAAGGGGGCTATAAATCTCCAGCCAATGGCACTTAGAATCAATGAGGGGAGACTTAAACATGGGTCAACTGCTTATGTGTACCTTAATATACTACCGCTTTTTCTCAGAGCGTTTTATCATCGCTTTGGTTATGAAAAAAAATAATTTGAAGTCAGGAGGCAAATCAGATCATAGTAATCCTTCAAATTCAGGAAGATAGTCTAAAAGAAATACCAACTGCAATTAAAATTACTAGTTTTAGAGCTTTTCAGTGAGAGGGGTTCAGGGTTAGATTCCCCATGGGCTTTATTCATCTTACCTATCCACACTGTTTAACTATTAATGTCATGAAGAT